ACAAATGGTGAACTTTGACACTTGATATCATAGGGCGTCGTGCTTGCGTTCATTGAAACATGACTAATAACAGCCCTTTATGTAATTGTGTTATTTCAGAATGTAATTTGTATTTACTCTGATAAATTGCAATATGAGTAAAATACTCTGACTCCGAAATAGTCGCGTTCATTCAGTGCCCAGATGTAACTGCATTTTTGAATATCGATCCTCATAATATAGAAGAAGAAAAAATGGAGAAAGATTATAAAACAAAATGCTATTTAAAAAAACATTATTTTCTCCTTTGCTACAATGTAATTACTACTGTTACACTGTTTCTCCTAGATAAATGCTGATCTACGTTTCATGATTTTAATGGACGGTGTTCACCCAGAGCTTGATACATGTCTCCTCATCGACTATAAAGGTTCAGTAAAATCATAAAAACTTAAAGGACGGTGGTCATCGCGCCGCGTCCTGTTCGATATGGGATTCATAGCGACGTACACAACGCGTGTAAAATACATTGTTTTACATGAAATTCGAACACGCACTGTGCGACGACCACCGTCCTTTAACACTGACTTCGATCTTTCAGTAACATTGCATTTCCCCTTAATGCAAGCATTGATTTGCTAACACAAGTTTGTACCCGTGTCTTCCAGGCCATTTTATTTTAGACACCGTGGACTGTACGAACCCTAATGGAGGTAGACTACCACATAATGTTGACGTTATGATGTCAGACTTTGCGGGCGGAGCTGCCGGATTTCCGATGACCTTTCATGGCGGTAAATACACAGGTGTGTAATTTAACATAAAACCTCTCGACACGTTCGGCATAGCAATAAGTGAGTTGGTTAGGTCTTTAGGATAGTCTTGTCGTAACGTTTTGATAAATATTGTCATAAATCAAATAGCAATGCTCATTGGGTTATTATGCACAATCATAAATCTCCAATTCATGGGAACTTAAAACTGCATTCCTTTTTTTACAGTGCCATATTCTTAGAAAAATATTATTCAAAATGAGTTACTTTAGAACGATTCTATGGAACACGATGTTAAAGAGAAAAACAAAAAGATTTTTGAAATATTTCATGGTAGCAGATACTTGTTAGTTACGAAGTATATATTTTTTTTTCAACCTGTATCATCAGCCTACAATTTGAGTTATGACCTAGCTCTATCATGAAAGCCAATGAAAAACGCGTTCCAATATTAACAAAATGGTCGCCTTTGACTAAAATGGGTGCAAGTGGACCAATATTCTTGTATTGGCCGGGAATACAATTTTTAGCTAAATGGGTTAATCTCTTGGTATTTTCGTTTCTGGGTAGATGTCGTGCCTGTTCATTGCATTCCTAAATACAACAATGATTTAAGACAGTTGGAATGCAATTGATTTTCATCACGTGGTAAAATGTTTCCGTTACCTATAGTTAAAGGTCAGAATTTGAAAGAATGTCGTAAATTATGCCCTTAAATAGCTAAGTAAAATTGTCCCTTTAAATGGTGAATCATGTGACGTGTCTGAATGACTAATTTGATTGGAGTTTTCGAAATGCACTTCTGGTTTCACGGCCAATATCCTCGTTATCGTGAAAGCTGACATGCAAATTCAGATATAAAATGCGTTTGTTGAAATGGCGGTTGTTGAAATCTTTTTCTGTATTTTGTATCGCCGTTATTTGCCTCGCATGTCATGAACGAATTGTGTACTGTAGTGTAAATATTTGTCGATAACATAAAACATGTTGGAACGAGTTCGCGACACCTGTATACGATTGATCGTATGTTTACTCTAATGTTTTAAATAAATGCTTTGTCAGTAAAATATTTCCAGAACATATAGGGAAGAAATGTGTTAACTCCATATTGGAAATCAAAGAATTGTGGGATAGAAAATTGAACTGTAGATGGCGTGTGGGGGGGGGGGGCTTGCATATTTACCATAGAGCCATATGTTAAAATCAGCTGTTTACCTCTCCTGGTCCTACTCATTCATTCATTCTTATTTGTTTTATTATATTGCGTGTTACATTTGAAAAAAAAACATGCATTTATCTTGTCTACTAAAAAGTTTTGGTTGAATTTTAAATGAGTTTTATAAGACATCTTTTATATATTTAGATTCCCCCACCACCTTTCAAAAATATGCCACATCACACTCTGTGGTCTTAACATCTATTTATAATAACTGAAGCATTGTAACCCAGCATTATATTCATACATTAACAGTTCATTGCATAGGCTGGTCTTTCATTCAACTGAGGTTACACCAAAGGTCAGTCATTCAAGTTCTTTACAAATCAAGCCTAAATGTTTAAGTCTTCCAGTGTTTTAATTCTGGACACCGTCACACTTAAAACACAAAACTTGCTTATAAACAGCTGATTTTAACATTGGGCTCTATGGAGGTGATGTGGGTTTCCCCCCAAACGCGCAATTCAGTTCATTGTTCTATCCCATAATTCATTGCAAAATCCTAAATTAAGTTGGCTGATACATGATTTGTCAGTCACCCCTCCATCTTAACTAATATATTCTAATTTTTATATTCTAATTTTTCTACGGAAGAACAAGCATTGATTTTATTTTAATGAGCCGATAAAATTGTACAAATGTTCATCCTTCTTATGCTAATTTGAACAAATGATATACATGTATTACCTAAACCGCTCTACTGATTGTCATCCACAGAGGACTGGAAAAGAAATTTCATCAAGTCAGAACGAAGAAAATTATTGTATTACAAAACTCAAGTCGTTCGTAAAGTGAACCCTGTTGTTTACTTTCCCTTTGCTGGCTATTTCGTTGAAGCTCACCCTTCAGATAAGTAAGTCATGTGCATCCAACCACAGCATCGATAACGTGAATTAATTATACATGTATAATTATCCCACATATCATGGCTCTTCGCAGTAATAAGACAGCTTACTAATTGTTGATATCCCTATACTATGTAATACACATCTCAGTAATCTGATTAGTCCATGCAAGCAGATTGAACACGTGACCCTATGGTTGACAATATCTAAATACGCCAATATCTTTGTCATATTTTGTAGTAGTTTCAGATGCCTGCAAAAATGTGCGTGCCCTTAAAAAATATCATACGTGACGCTCTAGCGATAGTGTTTTTTTTTCTCTATTGTGTTCGAGGCCCTCTATAGTTGAGGTCAGTTTCTTTATTTCCAATTTGTTTCGACTCTGTCTACAGAATGGCGTGTAATCTATTCAAATGAAGTATATTGGTTGCTGTCCGATGTATTGTGCAGCATCAAAATACTCCTATAACTTGTTTTTAAGAGCCACTTACTGTGTGGCTCACACTTTGACATTTTTTTGCCGGGACAGCCACAGTGATTGTGGGTACTCATCTGTGCCATTGTGTGAAAACAATTGTGGGTCCATTGTTCCTTGGTTTGAATATGCGAATTGATATGTGGTCACTGTTCACTGATGTATGCTTAAGATGGTTCAGGGTCGTACCTGACGAGATGCACAATACCAATAGTATTTCGGGTTTTTCGGTAATAGCTGTTATTAAATGAATTTGAAATTGATTTTAGGCGTCTTTATTCGTTTATTACGTATATAATGCATTGATGAGCCACTGTCATACTGACCGAGGGTTAATTAGAATAACCTGGACGCATGGTGCCGGGAACAGCCACTGGTGCCGTTCGGCCGGTGAGGGCACCACTCACGCCTACATGTCTGCTAAGGCAGTGTCCAGCACACACAATATTACCTCTGAGGCATATTCTATAAAAACAATTAAGTGATGTTCGTTTACGTCACAGGTATATCAAGGATACGAATGCCAAGATTAGCCCGAATGCACTGAATGATCTAATCAACAAGCATTCACCGGATATCAAAACATGGACTCCGTTACCAGGATCTATGTTTGACCTTGGAAAAATCCTCAAGGACAAGGACGACATGTAAGTATCTACATTTATCACATAAATAACCTTTCCATGTTAGTTTTATCTAAGTTAGTATTATGTGATGGGTTTTTTTTTTCTGGATGTATTCTCCTACAAGCTTTTTATATCTATTTAATTAATTTCCTACATGGAAAAATCCACTCTTACGTCTTTAATCTTTCTTTGCCACCAGAACAGCCTTCAGAGATCCTCCCCCTGGAACCAAAATATTGAAAGATGAGTAAGTGTTAAATTAATTCCGTGCAACAATAACTATTGCATCCTTTCAAACAATGCCAAGAGTTGTGTTAAATTAATGGATTGAATAATATTCTCCAAAACTTGACTCGTGGGTGGTTGGGTGTGTTTGTTGCTGCGTGCATGCGTAACACAAGACATTATATCGGGCATGTGCACATGCATTTGTTTCATGGTCCAATACAAGATGGCTTCACTATCCAAGATGGCCGAATTTTTAAAGGCTGAATATGCATCAAAGTCGCGCATTTCCACCTTGCCGTAACCGGATCTCAGCCGTGCATAGATAGATTCTGTTTGAACTTCGTACATATACATTTAAGACGAAAATGTTCATTTTATGCAGTAAATCTAGTGATTTACTGAGTTTATGGAAATCTTAACCTTCTATTAGTATTTTCAATTGCTAACTTTTCATTTCCAATTGTAATTAACAGGAAATAGCAGTTATACCCGATAATATAATTTTAATAATATTTCCATATTTATTTCCTACAGTTGGGATTTTGACAAATATCTGGACGCCATTGATGCAAGCATTTATAATGAAATATTTGCCTATCCTGAATGGGTGGAATTCTATTATAAGTGGTGCCAATTTAAAAATTACAATCTCGTTGTCAAGGTTTGTACTGCGCATGCTCAGTGTTCAATACTGATTTGTTTGACTGTAACTGAAATTTTTGTTTGTAAACAATTTGAAAAAAAACAAAACATAAAATAAGTTTACAGGTTCATTATTGTTTAAGGTGTATGTTTACGGGATCTTGACCTTACCACTGTACTCTGACATAATGTAACACTGCTCTGATAATGAATCATGTGACCCATCCTACCATAATGTACTATTTGCGTTTCTGTAAACAGATGATTGAGACGGATGACAATTTCCAGCCGATAGAGGGCGCATATACATATATGGTCGACTTCGTTGGTGAAGTACCAACATTCCCGAGTGAACGGCCTGACAGAACACACAATTATCTTGAAGTAAGTTGTACACTTATTTGATATTTTGTTTTGAATTTTCATGTGTTCAGAAAGTTCATTTATTTTTAAATGTCAATTTCAGATTCGCAATAGGATTGGGGTACATAGGCAGACCATGTTGACTGGGATGTTCTGGGATGATTTGTACATTGGTTTTAATAACAGAATCACGCGTGATCCTGACACGTTCCATTACCAGTAAGTATATGGCATTAATATTCAAGTCTTTGTTACTATGTCGCCGAACAGTCTGGAATTGTAATGAATTATCAGAGATAATACTATTTAGGTTTGTTTTTGGAATATGTTTATACGACATGACCGTTTAAAGTGGGAGGGTCGCCACCTGCGCACGCTCGGGAATTGAGTCCCACGATAACAACACCCGCTAAAAACGCAAAGGCTCATGGGTAGATGCTTGTTTGTAAGCAATGACACGCTATGACCATCTGACGCATGTGCAGGTGACGACTTCTTATTCTTTATATATGTGCAAAGTTCTCGGTTATGTCCCAACATTTGTTGAGGATTTTTAGTGCTTCCAAATACTAGTATTGGCAATTGTTTCAGTTTCCACAATGTTTCCATAACTAAGGGGCGATACCAATAGAGGCAACATGCACGGTTTTATTGACAATATTTCGGTTTACAATACGGTAACTAAACTCGCAAAGCAAGCTTTCCCATTAATTAGGTCATTTTGGGTCTCCTGTTTTTCTTATTGGAACAAGTTAAATCATATTCCAATGTCAAATGATTATCCCAAACAAATACGAATCTAAAAGTGTCATCTCAGTGTGCATCTATGTCAAAATAAATAATTTAATCTGTACTATTGTACATTATACTCAACATATCATTAATCTTACAGTCGATATTCTACATGGCATTGTAGTAATAACTGTTTTTTACTTTGGGGTATTGAGGCAGATACAATGGTACAGGTATGTCAAATGGGTTTGGGCATTTTAATACCTCGTTACTGTGGTACTGGATTTGTATAGGTTTGGTTTGGCGATGCTTTGTCAGTTACTTATCTGTTTTTATTTCCAGGTTTTGGAATTACATGCAGGTTCTTTTGCCACAAGAACCCCCGAAATGGGAAGAATTCCTTGAAGAACAACGAGCTAAAGGAGCACGGGGGAGAAGCGTATGGGCGCCATCTAATAAGGCTCTTATCAAAGGCATGTAACGCTTTGCACTAACAATCGGGGATACAAACCTATTTCATTGCATTGAGTTAATAACTCGGAAGAGTCATAATAGTGCGTGATCAGCGTTGCACTGTGAACCACTGAAATTTGACAAACTGCGAAAGCTTTAAGGTTTGACTTTGCATTGAGGCGGTAATGTTTTGACTAAATAGTGCTACCTGCAAATGTAAAACATTAAACTATATTTTTTTTTCTTTCTTTCGTGCAGGGACCACCCGCGTGCCGCAGTCTTACTCGTCAATACTTTGCACCGCGGCACTTTCTATGGCCGTTGGTGTCGCTGCTGCCGTTGCTTTGCGAATACTTGTCCGCAGTCGGTGAAGAACTCGAAACTGGACCAACGTAGGCCGTGTAGACTGACCTGAAACCAATATAACCACGAGGACGATCACGAACACTCTTCGTGTTCATATATTCTATTAAACTATTATGCTGCATATTTAATTCTGTCGTTTACAACAGGATATTTACACGTATATTTATATATACCGGTATATATATCCGCCCACAACTCTGGTCACCTAGCTTAAAGCTTCTATCTCAGACGGTGAAACCACAGTCAGCTGGCCGGGGTATTTGAAACCGAAATTGTCATCTAAGCGTTAGGCCGTCGCTGATTGACTGCTGAGCTGGAATGCCAATTTTTAGTTTTAAATACCCCATAAAAGTGTTCTAGGTTCTTCGCGTAATTAGGTGGTCGTATGCATGGGATTTTTCCACACAAACACGACGAATTAGGCCGAATTTTGTTATCGGTTGGCTTAATATAACCCCAACGGACTGTATTTTTGTGAAAGATTGGTATTTTTGTCGTGATTTGTAGGAATCTGAAAAACGCGTTTCACAACTTGTCTCTTAGTTTTATGCGTCATTCAAGATGGCGGCCCCCATATAGTAAATATCGTATTTATTTTATTATCACGTGTGCGCCAGCTGACTGTGGGTGAAACCACCAAAAAAAGCGTGTGTTAACCTTTTGTACTGTAATATGTTGCTGTGGGGAAAGTGACACCGCTGAATAAGAATGTCGCTACCTCGAAACAGCACGCCCTGTTAACCAGACGCTCGACTGCTACAACTTGGCGTGTTGTCTGTAGTGTACTTCTTGTAGATGACGTGATGGCGCTTAGAAGATGTACTGTATATGCCATGTTATATTTATATGATCCACAGAAGCATATTCTAATTTTTGTTTACATGCTGGGATAGTAGTTACATGTGCTTGGTTGGTTAGTTGTTGGATAGATATCGTAGTTGTTTACTCTGAACATGCACCAAGATAGATCCATTGCTCTAGGGTATCGGGGTGCACGTGGGTACGTATAGGGGTACACGTGGGTACGCATAGGGGTACACGTGGGTACGTATAGGAGTGAAGTAGTTTTCTTGGTCTACAATACATTACTACTCGAATGTGTGTGATTTGTGCTGACGCTTGTCCCGTGTGACTTTCGTGTTTTGTTTTCTTTTATAGTTATTTTTTTTTTCACTAAATAAAATAAATCTTCTGGACTAATGTACTGCATCACGTGTTTTATCTTTTGTCTAGGCGTACCCCGGGATGCTCTGGTGATTCTACATTATATACTAAAATGTCGCTGCAAACGATTTAATTAATAGTTTTCCTAGTGTTGCGGCCCTTTTGATTTCAAAATTGGCCAAAATATAACAAAAAATAATATTTCGAAATCTAGTTGGACCTGGGTCCCAGTATCCAAAGCATGTAAAGTGTTGTTGTTGCTTTACGGTAGTGCAATTGTGAGTTTTATTTTTATCTGTCTGAGATACACCAACGAGAGTGAATGGTTTCCATTGTGTCAATTGTAGACGCCTAAAAACGTACAGTTCAGCACAGATAACTGGGATCACAATGTTCTCAGTCTGGGGATCGTTCATATATTCATACACAAGTGTCCCTTTATTTTAGACTTCAACTTCGATACAAAAGTCTCATTAAATTGGATGGGCCGTTGCGGTATTGGCGACGTCTCTAAATATGAACTCTCCAATCAGATTGCCAGTATGCCTCGTGTATTCCAATTGCCCACACAGCAAAGCATTTGTAGACGGATCATGTTTTGTGTTCACACGCGCGTCATTTTTTGTATAACACCCACAATTCCTATCGTATACGTTATATCACGATTGCTACTAGTTACCGTAGTTATATTATAATAGATGAACATAAAATCATGGCCGTGGACTGCCCACATGAACTCCCCCGACGACTGTTTTAATCAATATTCGAAATGAGTATCAGTGACCTTTATCAAAGGAGTTTGCACCCACCCTATATCTAACCCTACCCTATTCAGCACTCCAATTTAATTGTATATGCCCCTTTCAAGGACACTTATAGTTACCTAGAGGGGACATGTAAAATTGCATTGGGGTTTTTGGGCGGGGTGCAAAGACTACCTTTTCCCGTGTCTGTTTACAACTCTTCACTTCACTATCAGTAATTTGGAAAGTTTTTTTTTCGATATTCAATTAAAAAGCATCGTAGCAATGTGATACCATTCATTGGCAAACTTGCTTGGATCTACGGTATATTAACATGTACCTCTTGTTGCCCGGCCTTGTAACGCCATGGAAAGTGCGCCCTCACATGGGATAATAATTTCCCGTATCACGCCTGGCCCAGAACGTGTCTGAGGTAACGCCGTGGTAAAATTGTAATTACACATACAAGGCAAGCCCGGGCGCTCCGTATCCAGTCTATAAAGATTACTTGAATGTGTGTAATATTTCAGTCAGAGGCGCATAATCATTACGCGCTACGAGTCTGAATTAACGACATGCGCACGTGTCAAATCTATGCATAATACCGTTCTCGTCTCGGACTGGTATGTGATAACGACCGGCTACCGACACTGCTCAATACAACTGTTTATATATCCACCTACTATGAGCTTTATTAGTTTGGATGAGCGTCCATTTAAAATGTAGCGCGCATGGAGCCCACTCGTGTGCTTATTTTATAGTGTGTCACTGACGTCACTTTATGAGAAACACAGATTGTGTCCTCGTCAGAATCGTCACTGCGATAGGCAAATAATTTATATATATATTATCTTTTATTTCAGGACAAGTCCATAAAAAAAGTAAGAACAAAAATATTAACAAATTACACAGTATGCATTCAATAAAATCGACCACGCCACATTTGCCATAGTACGTGATTTAAAAAACTTTCATATCACTAGATAATAGATTGATTAAAACAGAGTTCTTACTCAACAAAATACGTTGCGAAAAAAAGTAGGACATTTTTCCAAGCTTAACCTGAAAATATAGTCTGGCGAAAGTCTCTGTTATAGTGAGTAAGACGGTCAGCCTAATGAGATAAGGAACAAAATTTGAACTTGAAACTAGCGAGGGCCCATATTTTGAGCTAAATGTGGAGGGGGGGGGTCTAAGTATCGGCTACTATTTATCTGGTGATTGGAAGGTCGCCAGGTCCATCAGAAGAGTACATTGGATTGTGGGAAAATCAATGTTTATCAACACACATGCGTGACACGACGACCGCCGCCCTTTAATGTGTTTCAAAAGTAAGAATGTGCGCGCCGTTTGCGACAACGATTTCTTATCCGATTTGATTAGCATAATTTTTCTGACTTGCAAATTATTTCTCACCACTCGTCCAACCTCCTCTGACGAACGTGTCCGTGATTTTAAATAGAGGTCACGTATTTAGAAGAATGCATCGATCTGATTGGATAATATTAAGCCAACTGCTAACAAAATTCGGCCTAATTCGTCGTTTTTGTGCGGACAAATCCCTTGCACGCGAACACAGAATGACACTAAGAACTTAAAACATTTCCCCGGGCTATCCCCTTTGCTGATTGGCTCCTGAGTTAGCATGATAATTTTGGTAACCTTTTCAAAATAAACGAGAATGACATGGACTTCATGTGGGTCTAATATACGAGTTGGTATCATTTGAGTGTGCCCAAGACTGATGACATTACGACAAAAAGCATTAACGATATTGTGTTGTTTGATATAGATAACGTGTTTCACGGATATAAACCCGGACACGAGTAGCGGATTCGCATGGTATCACTGTGTATTATTTTTAAACTGCACCGAACTCATGAAATCAATCGCTCCGATACGAGAACGAACAATACTTATCAGCCGTTGTGTAGCAGTATCACTCAACATCCAAACAAATGAAGACAATTATCCCCAAATTCAAACTCCGTGAATGTATCACTAGAACGCAAGTCCCATTACAACGTTATTACTCGACAATGAATCACGCACGCTACAAATGCACGTCACATCAGATAGATTTTATGTACACATCCATTTCGGAATCCATGGCATTTTTTTTTCTGATTAATAAACAACGTCATTTTCCGAGAGGGTAAAATTACCCTTTTGTTGACGCATTTCCAACTTACTAGAATTTGGTGGGCATTTAATAACAATATATGTCCAATAGTTATATGGGGTAAGATATACATGATTAAACATTCTTCATTTTTATTACCTTTTAGCATTATTTAATGTTTATAATTTTGTTTTATTCAATTTTATCAATGTCTGATGTTATCATCTAATTATTACAATGCGTTTCACGAAGGTGTGAATTTGTTTTGTATAAACCATTTATAAATGCTTAATAAATTTCAAATGGCGGTAAAAGCGACTAGACCAATCACCACGCGTTAAGTGATGCGTGTCAGTGAATCGACCCATGACTGAAGAATATTTGCAAAGACTCAAAGCTAATAAGCTAATAAACATTAGGCTTCTATAAGAAAATAAAATCATCTTTAGATTTGAGTAGCGCAGGAATCTTCCTTCATATATGTGTTATAAATATGTTGTTAATGACTGTAATGTCATGAATTTGTTTTCACGTATCTGTTGGTCGACTTAATTAACTGATTATTAGCGAATTGCTGTGTTATGTCTGTCATCGTGTAGGCCTATTTGAAGTTTTGGACGGAACTTGGCTCAGTGATTTGGAACTAATTACGAGATAACCGTCGCGATTCTGACAGTTGATATCCATAGTTATTAATGTAGTGAACGATTAATCAAAAGATATGACGTATTCAGTACTTAGTGTGATTGGCTTTATGATTGAAGGTTACGCCCTAGAGTCTTTTTACTGCTTTGTAATTGGTTAGAGTTTTGAAAATGAATAAAGAGAGTTTGAGTTGGTCTTGGCGAATACTCCACGATAGACGCAGTAGAGAGAGAGAGTGCAGTCGAGAGTCCAGTCCAGGGGCGAGCCTTGAGGCAGTCCAGTCTTGGGCGAGTCTTGGTTCAGCCTTGTGAGTCTTGGGGACTTTTCCCCAGGGCGCCGTGTCTTATAGAGTGCTCCAAAAGATCGACTAAGACGAGAGTTGAAACGTATTTCGTTGTGTGTGCCTTATTTGACTGTAAGGTATAAGTGACTTTTCCGATCCCGTACCTCAAGGGGACGAGATAGAGAGACGAGACGAGTTTCCCCACTGACAAGTGTGGAGAACCCGAGAGAAGAGAATTATCCCCCTGATAGTAAACTCGCTGTATTATGTTCACATTTTTTAACATTCAATTTTATCATAATGTGAATTCTATTTGATCTTATTATAACTTTATAATAATGATCACATTATTTTGCATACATACGCACATGATACACATTTGCATAAAAACTAGTGTTTTCCAGTAAATATATTTTTCTTCAGATCTCGGACAGTCACATTAAATTACGAATGTTCACACTACCACTACTACCACCCATGTTATTATAGACATACAATTTATAATCATATGTCATATAACCAAGAACAGTAAAACAACAAAATGTTTCATAAACGTTGGAGTGTTTATGTTGATATCGTCGTGACCACGACTGGTGAGCTCACTTTGCATAAATTATCATCATAAAATCAAGATAAATAAAATATGAAAGCGGGAAAGTTGTTCTTTTAACAAGCCGGGAAAGACAAAATAAAAGTAATATTGTTAACATAATGATAAAATAAAATATAAATATTCACATAATAAAATTAAATTAAAAAAGTGAATATAATGAAAAATGAATGATAAAATTAAATGAAATTGCAAGCATGATAAATTATGAACAATAATGGATGGTAAAAATACTAGAAATTGAGAAAATGTGCATCGATTTCGTCCCACAGCGGAGTGGCATAGGTGTAGTAGTGGTTCATGTAGCGACATTCCATCTATCATACATATATTGCAACACAACTGTTTCTCCATGGAAATGTAATTCCTATTGTTATACTAGTTTATGTACGCCGCAGTGAAGCTGAAAAAAAATACAGCATGCTGAAGTAATTTGAGATGCGTCATGAATATTCATTTTCATTTGTTTACACCCTGTTCTGGTCACGACCCCGGAACACGGATGTGTGTGATCCCGGATCTTGATGTATCACGAAACTAGTTTAACACGGATATGCACCGACAACTTGGCTATTATAAACAGGCGAGCACGCACATTTGAAATCCGCCTTCTGTTCATAATGTATACAATGA